ATGAAGATGATGACGAAGAATATGAAAATGGGTACAAAATATTAAAATCTAAATTTTTAGCTGCGCCTAAATTAAATGAGGAGAACAAAGATGGCCAAGAGGAAGCAAATGAAGAAGATGAAGAAGAAGTATATGGTGATTTTGAAGATTTAGAATCAGGAGATTCTGATGGGAATGCAAACAAAAAGGTCGATCAGAATGACGATGATGAGTTTGCAGACTTTGATGCGGAAGAAGAGAAAGCAGAGCTAGGGTTGGATGAAGAGGAAGAAGATAAGGAAGAAGATAAAGAACTTGAAAATTTAACAACAGAAGAAAAGAGAAGACTAAATGCAGCTAACAAAGCAAAATTAAAGGTGCAATTTGAAGATGAAGAAGATCGCGAGTTTGGAGTCGATGATCCAGAAGGCGATACTGAGGCTGATACATGGTACGAATTTCAGAAGAATAAGATGGCTAAGCAATTAGAAATAAACAAAGCAGAATTTGATGAGATGGATCCTGCTACTAGAATCAGAATTGAAGGTTATAAAGCGGGTTCATACGTGAAGCTAGTATTTTCTAATTTACCGTGTGAATTTGTCGAAAATTTACAGCCAGAATATCCAATTGTATTGGGGGGGTTATTAGCAACAGAATCCAGATTTGGTATTATGAATGTTAGAATAAGAAGACATCGTTGGCATAAAAAGATCTTGAAATCTCAAGATCCGTTAATTTTATCTTTGGGGTGGAGAAGATTTCAAACATTACCAATCTATACCACATCCGACTCCAGAACACGTAATAGAATGCTTAAGTATACACCAGAACATGCTTACTGTTTTGCATCTTTTTATGGGCCATTAGTTGCACCAAATACAACATTTGTTGGCTTCAATATTGTTTCAAACTCATCAACAACGGGTTCATTTAGAATTGCTGCAACAGGAATTGTCGAAGATTTAAATTCATCGGTTGAAATTGTTAAGAAATTGAAATTAGTTGGTCATCCTTACAAGATCTTCCGTAATACTGCGTTTATAAAGGACATGTTTTCAAATTCTTTGGAAGTTGCTAAATTTGAAGGAGCATCCATTAGAACCGTTTCTGGTATAAGAGGTGAAATTAAGAGAGCATTATCTAAACCTGAGGGTCACTTCAGGGCTACTTTTGAAGATAAGGTTCTTATGTCGGACACTATTTTCTTAAAGACATGGTATCCCGTCAAGGTTAAGAAGTTCTACAATCCTGTTACTTCCTTATTATTAAGTCAACATTCTGAATGGCAAGGTATGAGATTGACAGGCCAGGTTAGAGCAGAACGTGCAATTGCAACTCCATTAAATGCTGACAGTGCCTACAAGAAGATCGAAAGAACTGAAAGGAAATTCAACCCATTGAGAGTTCCAAAATCAATCAAAACTGCTTTACCTTTCAAATCTCAAATTCATGAAATGAAACCTCAAAAGAAACAAACATATATGTCCAAGAGAGCCGTTGTTTTGGGTGGCGAGGAAAAGAAGGCTAGAGATTTGATGCAAAAGATCGCTACTGTTAGAAAGGAGAAAGAAACGAAGAGAAAGACGAAGAAGGATGAGAAGTTTAAAGACAAATTGAAAGCCATGGCAAAGAAGCAGGAAATCAGAAAAGAAAAAGAAAAGGAACGTAAAAAGGAATTCTTTTCGAAAGAAGGTAAAAAGAGATCTTTGGGCTCCAGTGAAGGCAATAGTGAAGCTTTTGGAAAGAAGAAACGTATATAATTTCATTTATAGATCTTAATTGCACATTATTTTAAGTCGTACAGTAAAACAAAAAAATCGCGATTCACCTCTCCAAAAAAAATGACTGTAAACAGAGACGCAAGAGAATATATTTAAGACAAAGAGTAGCATATTTATACTATAAAAGTGGAAGACATCGTTGAAGTGAAGTTTAAGAAGTATTAAGATAATAACTTGTTAATTATTGATTAGTCTATCGTTTATTCACAAGCATGGATAATAGCGAAATACGGTTGAAGCCACCACAAGAAACGTTTGTTGATGGACCATGTTCATTAGATGATATATCTATGGACGACTTAGCGTTTGATTTGGAACACGGTTTGAAGGACATTAATAAATTGAATGCTTTCCATGCAATAGCCATATTTAGTTCTTGTTTGCAAGATATAATTAAGCTACAGGCGGACCAATTGCTATTTAAAAAGTTTAGAAAGCAACAATTGGAAAAACTTCTGGTGGACATAGATGTTTTATCCGGTGATAGGGAGAATGCATATGCTAATACTCTGAAGATACCGTCAGAGAAATTACGTAGTCCTTCAGTTTCCCCGCCGTTGAAATTTGCAAGGCTACATAGTAATTTTGAGGAAGCCAATGATGACTTCATAAAGGATATAACACCGGATTCATTGTTCAACGAGGATAAAAATGGTAATTTTACATCAAATGGGAATATTGGGAGTGAAGGTTTAGATGATATCCACCCACCATATATTCCTATCGAAGAGCTAATGGAGAAAACATCGATTGAAAGAGTCTCTAATCAAATAACGTCGCAAGATTCTGACAAACTACGTGCTGAAATAGAGTATCATCTGGCTAATAAAGTTAGTAACCAAAATGCTCTTTTACTAAAATCGTTTAACTTGGTGAATATCCCTACGTTATCAATAGAACAGTTTTTAATGAGAATTAAGACATATTCGTCATCAACTTCGGTTCTGGTATATATACACTCGGCATACTTGATTTTCAAGTTGAGTATTTTACTTGATATTGTTCCTTTAACGGAATATAATGCTCATCGCTTGATTTTGGCCCTGATTAGGTGTCTGACCAAAAATTTGGAAGACGTATATCAAAAGCAGAAATCGTTTGCTACGGTTGGTGGTGTCAGTGAGAAGGACTTATTCAAGATTGAAATGGGTTTTCTTTATTTGTGCAACTTTAAATTGATAACCGGCGAAGAAATCCTAAATACATACTTGAAAGAAGAGTTTACTCAGGTGAGAAAATTTTGCAAGGAAAATATTATCAACGATGAAAATGAAAAGGATACCAAAAATGGTAATGGAAATAATGATTCGTATAGTGCTGAAGATGGTAAATAGTAACTTTCTCATAATTTTGGTGATATATACATAGATGATAGAAAATTTTAAGAGCAATAGATAAAAAAAACAAAACCCACGGCGGGAGTCGAACCCGCAATCTTTTGATTAGAAGTCAAACGCGTTAACCATTACGCTACGCAGGCATATTGTTACGAAAGAAAAATAACGTCTTTCCAGATACTCTGACCAGCACACTTAATATCGACTTTTATGTTTAAACATATGGTATTTGATGCGTTCTGTTAAGATGAAATATCCAAGAAAGCATTTTTTGGGTATTTATGCTTTAAATAATAATTTATGGGATTTCTGCAAGCACAATTTTGCACCCTAAAACAGTATGGAGGAATTGCGATAAGAATGATCACACAAAATCGGTTAAACGTGTTTATCTATATTAAGGTTACTATTGACCTTTTAGGGATTATTGATTTAACAAGCTGGTTATTTCAAAATGATGTTACTCTTAAGAAATCACCGTCATCGTCTTTTAAAGCGAATAAATGCTCTGTCGGTTAAGTTAGGTTATCATTTTGATATGAAGACTATGAAAACTAATGGCAATTTACTTATTCCCAGTCAACTAAATAACTTACTAGGAACTTCTTGGATCAGACATCATCTTTATACATTGGGACATGACATTGTCAAATTGCAGCTATATCAGAAGTTTAGCCATCTATTGACTGTCGGAGGTGGGGGGATTATAAAAACTGTTGTTTTCGACTTATCTTCTTTCATAAAGCGAGAATTAAATCCAAACGATATGAATAGCAATACAGCCCAACAATTGCGAGATTTAGTCTATTTTGGATCCAATTCCAATAATCATCCTAGTGAAGTTATACATGAAAGTCCTGAACTCTCGAGTAGGCATAGTATATCCGATTTCAGGTGGTTCTTCATAGCCGTTGGATATATGATTGTATCTCAATCAGAGAACAATATTGAAGATATTACGGATAAGATTGTTAATATTTATATTAATTCAAATAATAATAATAGAATTATTGAAGATTATAATCAACAAGACGATGCCAGTAATATGAAAATATTAGAATTAGTGAAACAATATTACCATAGTGTGCCTATAAATCGTGCTAAATTATATAGTAATGAACCAAAATTTATTACTATGTTTGAAACAAAAGATTATAAAATTCTGTTACCCCCATTACCAAAGATTCATAATAAGGAACTATTGGCTAAATCACTTATGCATAAAGAATTGTACCGAGGTTTGTTGGATTCTAAGCATATGTTCTCTAAAGAGTTAAAGCGGCGGAATATTACATTAGACCAACAGGCTTACAATATTATAAAGTATGATCTATCATTCCTAGATGGATTAGGTGATTTCTATTTAGCCCGTGAATCCTCAAATTTGCTATACAAGTATCGTGGAAGCCCGAATGATATCTCATCTATCCAATTTGGAAGGAAATCTTACAATTTGTTACGAACTATACTAGCGACAAACACATTGCTATCGGAATTGGCATTGGCTTACAATCTTCATAAAGGGTTGGATGATGTTGTGGTTTTCAAATTATTGAGAAAGTCATATGTTCCTCACTTAAACCGATGGAAGAACTCAAACTCAGATTTTGATAATGATGAAGTCAGACGCTATGAGCAAGAATTTATAGCCGATTATTTTGAACAGTATGTTGGTGCCTTATTTTTGGAGCAGCCTGAGGTTGCGCAGAGATGGATCACAGAAATCTACGAAAATATTTTACTTCTGATATCTGACGTACAAATGTCAGCTGGAACATTAAAAAACTACGATTATAATGCATGGAGTGCTGATGTAATTGGTAGAAGTTTATATAAACGATGAAAATGCAATTATTATAGATTATTAATTAATATACTAAAATTACACAGATACATATGATCAAAATTTTCTAGCGTCCTTCATAAGAGCAGAAAACCCCCCTTTATTCCTCTTGGGTTTGCCTTGATTCAATTTTTTAATATTTATAAACTTTCCTGAAGTGTCTTGATCACTATCTGAATCTTCACTATCTGTTGCCGATGAAGACGACGAGGAGCCTACTTCATCTGTGGTTTCACCATCTGTTGTATCATCCTTGGTTTTCTTAATATCTTTTGTACCAAGATCTACCATGGAAGTTGATTCGACATCGGGAACTCCACGCAAAGCCAAATCACTTAACGAAGTTAATATAGGTTTCTTAATATTACTTTTATCCTGATAACTGCTTGGTGTTTCGGGGGTCTTTTGGGGCGACTCTTGCAAAACTTTAGTAGCAGAGGTGTGGGAACCATCATCCTTACGTGTTTGAAGTAATTCCTTCTCCTTAGAGGCTGGAGAAAATATTGATTGGTTTTGATGCAATACATTCGGATGGGAAAAAGTAGACGAGGGAACTGCAGCCGCAAGACGTGGCCGTTTATTCTCAACGTCCGAATCATTATTTTCAGACTCTGAACTTGGGCTTTCATCAGATGATGATGATGACGAAATATTAGAATACGATACATTGTGTTTTCTTTTGTTCAGGCCCAATTTCTTTTGCTTAGTTGAATCTTCAGCTTCTCTTTTGGCATCTTCTTTACTCAACGCTTCACCACTTTGTAATGGCAGCACATCCAGAATAAATGGATTAGACTTAATACTTTCTGCGCGTAATTTAATCCTCTCATGTTCATTTGGTTGTTTGGCAATTGAGGATACGTTTGCATAATCCACAGGGTGCTTATTCCTACGCTCCGCAAATCTAGAAATACCAGCCACATTCAGTGATAAACTAGAATTGGTAAGAGTAATACCGTGAATCTTCGCCAGTTTAACTGGTGTATTCGGTTTAGTTGGTGTACTTGGAGATTTCAGCTTTTCCGAAGATAATGTGTTTGTTCCAGCTGGATTAGGCAACTTTGAATCAACTCTCATAAAAAGATCCTTGAATTTTGAATCGTCATTCTTATCGGCTCTATGTAACTGATTACTAGTATTTTTCGTAATTGGAGGTACTTGACCATCGTTTCGAATATTGTTATTTGGATTTGAGTTTGAATTATTATCTCTAGCGTGATTAGAGTCTTGTCGGGTAGTTTCAAGTTTTTGCAAATTGAAAGATTGAAATTTTTCCTGACTAGGAAAACCTTTTGGATTATTATAGCCATTCGTAGCCGAAAAAACAACAGTATCTATGTCATTACCACTGCTTGATACAAGAGAGTTGGCATTTGTACTAAGGTTTCTTTTTTTGAAATCGAAGTTATTCACCTTATCATTCGTCAGTGTAGAAGGATCATATGGAGCGGTATAAACATTTTGAACCCTTTTCTGGATACGATGATCATTTGGCGTAGAATGTGGCAGATGTTTATTTCTCAAGAATTCTTTAGTTTTCTCGGTTCCATTTGTAACATTAGATTTAACATATGGATATTTAATAGTATTACTTGATACTATACTTTTGCCTTGCTCGGAAGTCTTGTCTTCAATATGATTGATACCTGTAATTTGAGTAGCCCCATTAGTGTTCACCAGTAGCATATTATTAGTATTTGGCATTTTGTCATTCAAACTAGGTATTTTACTGCTATCGCCAATTACGTTTTTCAGGATTCCAAGATTATGATTACTCATTATAATATGCTTGTTGTTATGAATATCATTGTAATTGACTTTACCTATTACGTTGTTCATGGTATGAGAAATATTGTTGTGAATTGGTTTACCCATTGTATTTCCCATATAATTAGGGATAATGTTATCATTGGTTTTATTCATTGAAGTACTTATATTATTGGAAACATTGTTATTTTCACGCATTGCTTTATTCATATTATTAGACATACTCTTGTCACTAGCTTTAGAAATTGTGCCATTAAAATTATTAAAAGTGCCTTTATTATTTGCTTCACTCGTCGGATTATTCACAGTACTAGGAATATCCTTATAATTGCTCTTACTTATTGAATTATTCGTCGTAATAGACGTATTTTTATCATTAGCTTTACTCATTGCATTATTCATAGTACTAGGTATTTCCTTATCGTTGCTTTTAGTTATCGAATTATCATTAACAGAAGTATTATTATCATTAGCTTTACTCATTATATTGTTCACAGTATTAGGTATATTCTTATTATTATTGCTCTTACTCATAGGACTGTTCACATTATTAAAAATATTTTTAGTTTCGGCTTCTTTCAGCAACTTATTCAGAGTACTAGAATTATTCCTGTCGCTGGTATTCTTAGCTAAATGAGAGTTCGAAGTTATATTGTTATAACTGATTGGATAGGAGTTCAAATTAGCATAAATACCTAGGTTGCCCATTTGTTGATCTTGCGTGGTTGTTGGCAAAACATCATTATGTTCGGATTGAATATTCTTACTTTCATTTGATGACTGTGGTTTAACTATTTGCACATTATTTGTAGTTTGTTCTTCTTTAGTTGGAGTGCTATGAGCTTCATTAATATTCGTGTTTCTCGCATTTTTAGGAGAACTGATCAGGTTGGTGGTATTTATCTGAGGTTCTGCTATCCTGTCCTTATGTAGAGTGCTAGATTCAATATTATCGCTATCACGTTGAGAAAGTTGTTTGGTATTGTATCTTCCTTTCTTATTTAAAACATTCAATTTTTCATCGAATTGTTTCATCTTTTCAAAAAGTGCTCCTAGTTTTGAAGTTCCTGCAAGATCCGTGAAACTTGGTTGAAATCCTTCGGGAGGATAATGTGGTTTTATTTCTTGTCCATTTTCTTCCTTCAGTTGTTTGTCGTTAGATGAATCAGTGTTAATAGATGGTGCCGTTTCTTTCACACGAGTTTTATCAATCACTTCATGTTTTGATTCAGTTTGCTTAGCTATCTTATTATCATTTGAATCAGTCTTTTTGATATTTTTCACTGAATCTTTCGTGCGTGTATCCTTAGGTCCACTAATGATTTTATTATTATGAGAAGAAGGAACTCCATTCGTATTCTTATTTGCTGCCTCTTTATTAAAGGCTGACACAGATTTCAAGGAGTTTAATAATTCTGAAGGGTTAGATATATATTTGATGGCATGTCTAGGATCAGAATCTTTAGGATCAGAATCTTTAGGATCAGAACCTTTAGGATCAGAAATTTTACCATCAAGACTTTTGAGATCGGCACCTTTTGTCTCAGAACTTTTCGACTTAGGACTTTTAAGTTCGGAAGTTTTTGGGTCGGACGCTTTTGGTTCAGAAGTATTTGGTTCAGAAGTTTTTGGTTCAGAGGTTTTTGGTTCAGAAGTTTTTGGTTCGGAAGTTTTTGGTTCGGAAGATTTTGGTTCAGAAGATTTTGGTTCAGAAGGTTTTGGTTCAGAAGATTTTGGTTCAGAAGATTTTGGTTCAGAAATCTTTGGTTCAGAAATCTTTGGTTCAGAAATTTTTGGTTCAGAACTTTTCCGCTCAGAACTTTTCGTATGAGAGCCTTTCCTTGAACCAGAAAGGGAAGTCATAAGATTAGAGTCTTTACTGTTTGTAGCAACTTTACTTGTCTGAGCCTTCTTTAAAGCGGTTCTTGTCTTTCTATTGGCTGCAGCCCTCGTCGCCCGTTTTTCTTCTGATGATAAAACTGGGTTTTTGTCAACCATATCAATTTCAAGGTTTTTCATTAAAGCAGACAAGTTTCTAGATCTGGCTGACTCATTTTGTGACTTATTTTGTAATCTTGCTGGAATCTTCATACCATTCTTGAAAAGATTCATAATTTCAGTCTTTGTTAGAGTTTCTTCTTGGTTATTAGGTGAGTTTTTAATGGTTTCTTCATATAATGAAGCAAGCGGTCTGTCCTCCACATCATCATCCTTTGATATATTTTCTACCCCTATTTCAAGACTTTTGTCTTTAAAATCTAAGCTGATTTCATCCGTATCTAAATCTGAAGATGTAGCCTCTGATCCTCCCATATCAGAATATAATGCCCTTGAATAAAGGTAATGTTTACTACGCTTACTTAATTTTGGTTTATGGTGATGGATTTCTTCCTTTTCTAACTGCGCATGGGCAGGCATACTTAGCATACCGGAAGTGATACGTTTCTTACCAGGCAAAGCTTCTTCTTTTGGCTTCGTAGAGGAACTCTTTTTCTGGGGAATTGAACGATCATCGCCGATTTCTGGCGGAGGTAAAGAAATATTGGTTTCATTAATATCCTCTATATCCAGATTTTGAGTCTTAGGAGGAGATGAATTATTTTTGCGTTTTTTTGAAACATTTAATTGTGGGGTTAAAGGAATAGCCGGTACTTTAGGCTCTATAAATGATTCATTCCTCGATGACCAAACTGTCCTTCTTGCATGTTTTGAAGGGATATTTGTATCTGTCAGATCAAAATACTCCTTGGTCCGCTTACGACTACTGGTCGGAAACGTAGAATCCTGAGTAAGTACAGGTGCTGGTGGGTAAATAGGAGTACTCTGAGTCTGCTTATTCAAATCAACTAATCTCATTACCGCTGGTGTATTTTCAGCCGCCATCATCAGCAGCTGGTTGAAGCTAGTATGATTGCTCAAATTTTGGAGTTCGTTTTCCACAATCACTCTAATGATATCCCCAGAATTTAATACATCACCTGCTTCAAAATCTGGATCTAAATCACACCTATCGTCATCCTGGAGACTCATTATAGCTAATTTATCATCATCAGGGTAAAGTTTGGCATACCTTTTTGTAAGCCCATCACATACTTTACCCAAATCTGAATCTGCGTCTGCCAAGTGCAAAAATCTTCTACTCTGACTAGAATCTAAATTTGACGACGGAACATCTGAAAATTGTATAGGAACAAGAACAACTTTCAACTTCAACTTCGCCATTTTCAGGTTCTATTCCTTTATATTTCAATGCTTTGATATACACTTCTTCAGTATAATCAGATTAATATATAAAATTACGCGCTCATTAAAAAAAACATACTTTGAAACAGCGCACGTGAAAGTGGTTACTATGGTTAAAAAGGTATATAGGAGATATACTATTTAAAATAAGGATCATCAGTTAGCATCAGTCTGGCCTTTTCTATATCTAACAATTTGGCTTTAGAGATGCTTCCATCGTCTAAATGATGAATATTTGGGTCGAGAATATTATCTAGATTTGGTTGTTCCCACTTGGGTGACCAACTGACGATTTCACCGTCCATGGTACCGCAATAATACGTAGCAGAAAACGGGCCGGCATTCACCATAGACGATGTTCTGCCTGAATTCTTTGTACCTTTCCTCGTAAGCCTGGAAACTAACTTACCATCGATTGTTCTGAAGATGAAGATATCACCATTATCGGACGGAAACAAAAGATATTGTAATTCGGATTCATGTTTGGGGCTTAATATGAGAGGTATGGTTTGCGGGTATTTGTTTCTAGTCAAGGGTCCAAAGTTTATTAGCTTATTAACAGGAGGGGCCAATGAAGAAACCATGTCCCACACTCGGACCTTATCGTCATTTCCAGCCGTGAAAAGAGTATGGCCCGCTTCATCCCAAACTAATCCGTTTACAGGGCCCAGGTGGGCTTTCACAGAGGGCTGGGTAAGATTAGTGAACGTAAGTGACAGTTCTGCGGTACTGGTCCTGAGCATATCAAGTCGACACAAACAACTCTTGCTTCTTCGTATGTCCCATATTTTTACTTCACCATCAAAACCACCGGATGCTAACAAGTTGGGGTCTTGTGGGTGCCATTTGACACATAAAGTTTTTCCCTTGTGACCGTGCAATGTATGAGCACTCGACGTGGACCTCAAATCAAGTAACCTCAAAAAAGGCTGGTCACTAGCTACTGCGACCAAAGCACTAGCAGTCATATTGTTAGCCGAGTGGCCACATATATCAAATGAGTATACTCGGTTATCCATGTCGAATACGTGTACTGGTGTCAATTCATTGGTATCCCAAATTTTAACAGTATGATCGAATGAGCTTGAAACAAACATCCCCGTATCAAATGGCCACCATTGAATACAAGAAACACCAAAAGTATGTGCCGCTCTCCTGGGAACCGTCGCCACATTCTGGAAAGTTGATACAGGGTTATCGTAGTCAAAATTGTCATAAGTTTGCCCTGCAAACGATGCGTCTTGAGCGTCCTCCTGAATATCCTGAGACTTCAAATCCCATAGTTTAATCGATGAATCTGCACACGAGCTTAATAAGAATTGGTAATCACTTTTTTCCAATGATAAACTATTCACAGCAGCATTAGCATGGCAGTTGCTTGGAAAGACATCCGTTCTAGCGGCTTGATGAAGTCCCGTGTAAAATGATTCGGAAATGGCAGTTGCAAACTCCAAAGGGCTTATTTTCCTTACAGCCCTATCAAATATCAATGATTGCATGACATGTCTTAGAATTGTATCCCAAATAAAGTTTTACTATATAGACCAATATGTTGATATATTAGATAAAGGCATAAAATCTATCAAGTATCATATTCCTGCATATGTTTGAAGGTTTAAATTTTTTTCTGTTCACTTGGACGGACGTAATTTGAAATATTCTTCATTCGAACAGATACAAAAGCTCCGTAGGCAAAATGTTGGATATTAATGCATTTCTTGTGGAAAAGGGTGGCGAACCAGAAAAAATCAAAGAATCACAAAAGAAAAGAGGTGACTCTACTGAAATTGTTGATGAAATTATTGCAGGTTATAAGGACTGGACCAAGATTAGATTCGACTTAGATGCTTTAAACAAAGAATTAAATGCTCTTCAAAAGCAAATTGGTCAAAAGTTTAAGGCCAAGGAAGATGCTGGTGATTTATTAGCACAGAAGGATAAGTTTGTTGCTGATAAAAAATCCTTTATTGAACAAGAACAAAAGGCCGATGCTGATTTGCGTAATAAGGTTAATCAAGTAGGTAACTTTGTTCATAAGTCAGTTGTTGACTCACAAGATGAAGATAACAATGAATTAGTTAGAGCTTGGAAACCAGAATCTCTTGCTGAGATTGGTCCAATTGCATCTTGTACTGGTGCCGAAGCCAAATTATCACATCACGAAATTTTGTTGAGATTGGATGGTTACGATCCTGAAAGAGGTGTAAGAATAGTTGGACACCGTGGTTATTTCTTAAGAAACTATGGTGTTTTCTTAAACCAAGCCTTAATCAACTATGGTTTGAGCTTCTTAGCTAAGAATGATTACACTCCTTTGCAAGCTCCAGTTATGATGAATAAGGAGGTCATGGCCAAGACCGCCCAATTATCTCAATTCGACGAAGAATTATATAAAGTTATGGATGGTGACGATGAAAAATACTTAATTGCTACTTCTGAACAACCAATTTCTGCCTACCACGCTGGTGAATGGTTTGAATCTCCTCAAGAACAATTACCAGTCAGATATGCTGGTTACTCCTCATGTTTCCGTAGAGAAGCTGGTTCTCACGGTAAGGATGCTTGGGGTATTTTCAGAGTCCATGCATTCGAAAAGATCGAACAATTTGTTTTGACTGAACCAGAAAAGTCCTGGGAAGAATTCGACAGAATGATCGGTTTATCAGAAGAATTTTACAAATCTTTGGGTTTACCATACAGAGTTGTAGGTATTGTCTCTGGTGAATTAAACAACGCGGCTGCTAAGAAATACGACTTGGAAGCATGGTTCCCATTCCAAAAGGAATATAAGGAATTAGTCTCTTGTTCTAACTGTACCGATTATCAATCACGTAACTTGGAAATTAGATGTGGTATTAAGCAACAAAACCAGACTGAAAAGAAGTACGTCCATTGTTTGAACTCTACTTTATCAGCCACCCAAAGAGCTTTATGTTGTATTTTAGAAAACTACCAAACTGAAGATGGATTAGTTATTCCAGAAGTTTTAAGAAGATATATTCCTGGTGAACCTGAATTCATTCCATTTGTTAAAGAGTTGCCAAAGAACTCAACTTCAAACAAGAAGAACAAGAAATAATTCTTCTAAATAGATATAGTTAGTAGCTTTATTTACATAATTTCACGGATTAATCTGATATCTATACTGTAAGGTAAAGTATTACACTGAAGCTCATTAAGTTAAACTTAACAATACTGCAAGTACAGCTCCTCTTTTTTTTTTCACTGTTTGAGACTTCAACTCATTCATACTTGAATATATAATTGATTTCTCCTACAATTCATAAATTCTCTCGTCATACTGTATTAACGTCCCCATTCAGGATCGACTCTGTATCTTCAGTGACTAAATCAAAATAATACAATACTTGTACTAGATATTAGTCCGTGCGAGGAACTCCAGCCGTACCAAGAATTTGTAATTAAGAACCATTTGCTTGAGGTTAAGCTAGACATACTAAATTGATGTATGCCTTTCACTTCAAACTAACAAATTCCAAAAACTTTGATTTTTAATTCAAGAATTTAAGAATATCTTAAATCAAAATTTATTACCCTTGGATTCAAGTGATCTACACAGATTGTAAAACAGATTAAAATTTCATTCGTAAGGGAGTATTAAAACATAAACTGAAAAAATTTTCTAAACACATTTATAACAATAACATCTATGAGACCGATATCAATAGTTTCGTTCATTTGTTTAACCTAAAGCAGCACCCAAACATTCTTCTGCACAACAACAACAGATTATAGCCGCACAACATCCACAGAACGCGGAACAACATCCCCCTCCCAGCTTTTGAGGTTGTTGCTGGACATACATTGGTTGTTGCTGTTGTTGATAATATCCCTGTGGTGGGCCTTGTTGGTAGTAACCTTGTGGTGGGCCTTGCGGAGGTGGGCCTTGTTGATAATACGACTATATTTCGTTAGTATTCATATCTCAAGATATTGTTATCTTTTCCTGTTCCAATCTAAACTTACCATCTTCTCAAATTACAATATTTACTCAAATCTCTAACACTTCAAGTTGAATTTGACGAAAATAAAATGTGTTTTTATTGAATAATTCATTTATTGTTCTGTTTCACGTCAAAGACAGTTTATTGTAAAACGTCGGTCATGTGATTTTTCTTCTCTACATTTGATGATCTAGCCACTACATTAAAAAGACCAATACCAAGTCGATTTGAATCTATAATTAGAATCTTGGTTCATGCTTAGAGATGGAAGATGTCAAGACAGTCATACGGTCATTTGGTTATTTCAACTGCTTGGCTTCATGCATATACCGTGGAGAATTGAAAATAGCTGTGCAAAAGGTACGAAGGGTAACAATAGGGTCAAAATACAGACTATAACTACAACACGTTACTGATTTAGACAACAAATAGAATTACCAGATTTTTCAAAAATAATGCAGACAATATAGAATATAGGCTGTGCTTGGACAGAAGTAACTAGTGGCCAAGACATGTCGTGTTGGTGTTCCAATGCGATTGAATTCGCGACATTACTTGATACGGTTTTTTATAGGCATCGCTCATTGTGCATCATCGTACTAGATAAGCCCTACCAAATTAAATAGTAGCCGTAGAGCTGAAAAATAGTATACATAATGGATTTTGTATATGCTCCACCCCCACCACCACCACCTAAGAAATCTGGTGCTAATAATTCTAATAATTCTAATAACCGAGGGAACCTAGATAAAAGGAATCCGAACCCTAATAATAGATTCAATAATAACCCTGTGAAAGAGGATAGATCAGCACTGCAAGATCCGAATGCTTTGGGGGATTTACCAACATACTTGCCAAATAGTTCAAATGATGCGAATGAATTGAAGCACAAAGAAGGTAGTGAAGATGAAGAGAGAGTTTTAGCACAAGACTGTCCGGAAACTCAAAGCAAATCAAATGAACCAGTATTTATATCAGGGACAAATATAACCTTGGAGACCGAGGAAGATATTAACAAATGGATAGAAGAAAGAAAAAAGAAATGGCCGTCAAGACGTAATTTAGAAGAAAAGGAGAAAAGCCGTCAAGAACAGGACAATACGTCTACGAATCCAAAGAAAAGAATTAATGAAACAAGTGGTACGCAGAATTCCAAGAAGCCTAAGAATATATGCAAGTTCTATCAAAATAACAAAAGATGCAAATTTGGGAATAAATGTAAAAATGTGCATGAATCTACTGGAAGTGGTGGAGGAAAGCCTCAAAATTCTAAAACTATCAACAATATACTGGTTGTGATACCCCAAAGATTCAAAAATGAGATGTACCTAAACGAGAAAGATACAAATGCACATCCATTGCTATTCAAGATGCTAGTACAAAAGGATCATTATGAGAATGAAAATAGTAAAGTTTTGGAATTTTTAGAATTTTTAAATGAAAAAGGTCTAATTGACCATGATGTGACAATATAAACATCTGTTACGTATATAAATATTTCTAGGCATATATGAAGCATATTTGAGGCATAATAAATAATTTAATGATCACTGTTTTTTAATTGTTTTGTAGCATCTAACATAATGCTGCATTGGTTCCCGATCTCGGCCAATTTTCCAAGAACTAAGTCATTTCCTTCCCCGAAGCCATAAATAGAATAACTCAACCCCACGTCTTTACAAAAGTCAATAACAAATGGCTGAACCTTTCTGAAATTATGTCTTGGTAATCTTGGAAACAAATGGTGAATTGCCTGAAATTGCAATCCACCATGAAGAAAATCCAACCATTCAGGACAATCAACATCCATTGTCGTCCTGAGTTGTCTCTGAGGGAAGCTTTCGCTAACACCTAAATCTGATGTTGACATTGCAAAATGTGATAAAGTGATTTGAACGTGAACTAGCATTGTCGTTACGTGACTAACCATAACATATGCAAACCTATCCGAGTTCAGTTCAATTGACTTGAATACCAATAAGTAGAAAAACCAATAAAAGAAAAATGATAATCCGGCTAACTCAAAGTATCTGAACCATGCAGCTTTCCCGTGGCGAGGGCCATCACCAAAAATTAAGTGCAGCCACGATAATCTATATAAGTTAAATCTTCCAAAACATAATATGGGATAATATAAATATTCCTGTATCCGTATCATTTTTTTTGCTACCACATCTAGAGGTAGATATTTTTCGTAGTACGTCGAGTAAACATTTTCGAATAATCTAACGCTGACTGCAAAGAAAGGTAGATGTTGAATGTCTGGATCATGCACTGGATCGTTAGTAATCAAATGATGAACATTATGATTTCTCTTCCACCACCCTAAACTTAGACCACCAAACCAGTCTGCAATTAGCATCCCAAATATATTGTCTATTTGATAATTATGTGTAATGGAAACATGGCCGGCATCATGGGCAATAAAAGTCATTTGTTGCCATGCAGTTCCCATAAAAAAAGCACTTAATTTAAAATAACCCAATTTAAAGAATGAAAAGGAATAAAGGAATAAACTACCAATTTTAATCAATTCTCTAACATACAGAAAGTAATGGCATTGATAAAAGCCATTCTTTATAACTATCTCGTGTAATTCATTATATTTATCTCGCAACACCTGTTGTGTTTTATAATCCAATGCAGGTAGACTCAATATATCTTTCTGAGATAATGTATTATCATAATTTGCTACAAGCAATTTAGGGTCTATAATTGTCTGGTCAGTAGAAACAGGGAAAATTTCGTCTTTGTTCGTTAAGTCGATCACAGATATATTTTGAGCTACTTTAGGTTCGACATACCCCTTTGGATATCCTAATCCTTTATACGAAGCCGTTGTTTCTTTCTTAATTTTGGGTAAACTTGATTTCGCTTGGCTGAGATCAATCGAATTTGATGAACTTGCCGAAGACACTAATTCATAATCTGAAGCATCTGTGCTTGATTCATCTATTTTACTCTCCAATGTTGACTGTTTATTTACTTTGACTTCATTATAAGGATATACTGCACCTTGAATTGGTGGTAACAAATTCTCCCAATAATAATTAATTTCTCCAATTTTCCAATATTTGAACATCCTCACAGCTTCTAAACTATGATAAGCATGCATTTCATCCGTTGCATCTCTTCCAATCATATGATGAACAGCTTTATCTCCACCTGGATGTTTTGACAACCACGGTGTCAAATCTAACACGTAGTTCTTATAGATAATGATTGCTCTTCCATCTGCTATCAAGTCTATAATATTCGTACGGCTTAATATCTTTGGCTGCCTGGTTGAGGTCATATTATGAGACGTAAAAACAAAATGATTAACTAAAGTAAGAAAGAAATACAAGCTACCTGTCTATTTTGGTAGTTTTTTCAGATCTCGCGTATAGAAAAAAAAAAGTTCTAACGCTAAACGATAACAAAGCTCCGCTTAATTTAGAATAAGACTCTACATTGTAATAACATTATTTAATCATTAATTATCAAAACTTGTTGATTCATTAAGTATCTAATTAGTCAATATGAATGAAAATTAGTGCTGCTGTTGACCTTCAACAAACGACATAGCCTCCTCTCTATTTATCTCAGAAACGGTACTAACTTTGTTGCTAAACATTACACCGTAGAACTTATCGGCCACCTGTAGCATTTCTGGTCTAAATGTAGTACAAATAAATTGTGCCTTGTTAGACAAAGAGTTGATCATAGCTGCAACTGCGGTTCTATATTGGGTATCCAAATTTGCATCTATTTCATCAAATAAATAGAATGGAGCCGGGTCACATTTTTGAATAGCTAAAATAAGTGCTATAGCACATAGCGATTTTTGTCCACCAGAAAACTGCTCAATTCTTTGTTGTTCATCATTCTTGGAGTTAAATGATGCGGAAATAGAAACACCAACATAGTTGTCAATATTCTGCGCTTCATTTATAGTGAGTTCGTCGGAACTTCTCATTACTTCGTCTTCATCCTCTTCGCCATTTCTATTCAAGTTTTGATCTTTCTTCTGCATAATCAAGTTACCAACTCCGGCCGGAACTAATTTTTCAAAAATTTCATGGAAGCTTTTAGCAACTTGTTTAAAACTTTGAGTGATTGCTTCATCCTTTTGAGTCTCTAAACTGGTGATCAAGTTTTCAATAGACTCCCGTGATTTCTCTAACTCTTTTCTTCTTTCCATCAATTCATCACGTTGTTTGGTGAATGTGTGATATTGCTCCATTGCTTTTTTGTTAATATGAGAATATTTAGAAAGGTTATTGTTCACATTAGTCAATTTTTTCAATAATTGATCAGAATTGAATTTATCATAGATAGACTGCTGGAATGCTTCTTCCGGAAGAACACCCAACTCCAGGATTTTTCTTTGAATTTCATCACGACGTGCAACTAAAATAGCTTTCTTTGATAAATTCTTTTCTGTTGTTTTAGAAAACTTCTCCAATTTTTTCATTATTAAGATTTGTTGGTCATTTGCCTTTTTCAATAACGAATCACTTTTCGCTATTTCATCGCTGACATTATTGAATTCATCTATTGCGGATTGGTTCTTCGATTCTGCTGTATCTAATTGAATAGTCAAATATTCCAATTCCTTTTCTAATTCTTTGACTTGGTGTTTGTTCAATTTAGAATTAGGAGCTTCACGATCTTTAATCAATTTTAAAAGATGTGGTTTGTAGTTATCTGCCAATTCTGACCCGAATTTAGAGATCGTCGCTTCTATGGCAGACAATTTTGTAACAGTTCTATCCAACTTATTCTCGCATTCGGATATTTGTACACTGAGGTCCTGCAATTCATTTGTTTCATTCGTAGATAAGGATTGGGTGAAATCTGATTTTAGTTCTTCGTGATGCTGATTTAAAATCGTCAATAAATTACCTCTAACTGTACGGACTGCTTCTATATTCGTGATCAATGAGTTTAATTCTTGGTCAGCATTATACTTTTTATTCTGTAGTTGAGCTAATTCTGCTTTCAAAGGTTCTTTTGTAGATAATTTTTCATCTAACTCGCGAGCCTTATACTGCAAATCATTGTTGTACGACGTAAGTTCTCTATTGACGTTTTCAATATCTTGAACGCATTTCTTCAAATCTTGTTCGGTCTTATAAATCTCATTTCTCTTTTTGGCTTGTGTTTTTAAAGCATCAAGGCGTGAATTCTTATAATCTCTGTAACCACCACTTAACACACCTTTCGTTTCCGCCCTGTCACCATCCAACGTAATTGCATTAACTTTGAAAGCTCTTGCTAATTCTGAGCCTTTTTGTAAGTCATTACATACAATGGTTTTAGCAAATACCTGCCTGATAGCTCTTCCAACTTTCTCGTCATCAAATTTTAATTTCTTGATTAAAGGTATACATTGATGTTCTGACCCATCTGGGTATTCAATATTTATAGGGCTTAGCCTATTCAATGGCATAAATGTAACTCTACCTGCTTTGGATCTATTCAACTCATCCATGATCAAGGATGCCGTTTTATCATTATCGACAACAACATGAAATAAAGCATTTCCTGCAATAACTTCCACCGCAGTTTTGTATTTATCACTAACACTAAATAAGTCTGCTAATGGTCCATAAACAGAATCCTCTAAATGCAACTTTTTTACGATTGAATTAACCGAACTGAGACCTTGTGATTGTGCTCTATCCATTGTCTGGTTCACCAAGTAATTCGCATTATCCAAATCATGATTGAGCGAGTCTTGAATACTTTTCAATCTTATCTCATCACGCCAGAATGACTTTCTTTGATCTGTTAATTCAGTTATTTTAATCTTTAATTCGTTCATTGACTCTTGCAATTCTTCGATAATTTGACCTTGTTTATCATCGCTGAGAAATTCATTAATTTCTTCAATTCGTTTGTTATATTCAAATATTTCTTCTCTTTCAGAATTAGCCTGGGAATCCAACTTATTCATTATGTCATCTTTTATTTCCAATTCTTTGGACGTTTCTGATATCTGTTCCTTTAACCATGTATCTCTTTCTTCCTTGGAAGTGAATTTCAGAAAACGATTTTGCTTCGAATATAACGCCCTCTGTTTTGTTATCAAATTAGATAACTTGTTCTTGATTTTCGATTCCTTTTTCTGGTATTTCTGTAGGTTTGGTGTGAAATGAGAAATTTCATCTTCGTGATGCTTGATTAAATTTTGGTAGTGTTGTATTGAATCATGATAATTTGTTTGTTCTTCTTTCTGGATATTAATAGTCGACTGTAATTCATCAAGTTTAACTTTTTTATCAGCTATAACTTTCAATAATTGATTGTAATCTGAGTCCGTTTGATCTTTGTCCAATCCAGTAATTTTCAAGGAAATTTTCAATTGACTAATAGAATCAGTAAGTTGCTGGCATATCTTTTCCCGCTTATCTAATTCCTCTAGATCTTGCTGGGATTCAGATAGCAAATTACCATACGTCTCATCAATAGATTCCACTTGAGTATTTAA